CCTGGTATTTTTGGCCACTGTGTGACAGAGTGTTGAACTGGATGGGCCATTGGCCTGACCCAACATTGGCTTCTCTCATGTTTTTATAAAAACCTTGTAGGGGCCCAAATAAAGCCTCATAAAATGTTCACAGTGACAAATGCACAAAAAAGAACAGTGTATGACCTGACGCGTTTCGACTCACAAGTGAGAATATATTATTTGTCACTACGGATGTGGTATCAGTGTATACAAATATATACACCACATGAGGAAGCATTGGAAGTGATTCAGAAAGTGTTAGAGAAGAGAGAGAACAATAACATTCCTCCCACCTTCTTTTTTGCCAATTGGCTGAACTTTTTTTAAAAAGAAATTACTTCCAATTCCAGAATAATTTTTGGCAGGTTTCCAGAACAGCCATGGGATATAAATGTGCACCTGAGCTGGCCAACTTATTTATGAGTAGATTTGAGAACCAATTCATCCTGAATAGTAACATTTATCTTGAGAACATCATTGTCTTTAACCGTTTTTTGGATGATATCTTCTTGATTTGGAAGGGCCCAGTGCAACTCCTATTGGCATTTAAGCGATTTGTTAACAGTGTTCATGATACTATCAAATTTGAGTTGAAATATGACAGCAAAAAGATTGATTTTCTAGATGTTGAAATCAGACCCGGGGGGGGGGGGGACCTACAGATACCAATTCTTTTCTTGTAGCTTCCATCCACAGCATTTAAAAAAAGAATTTACCCTTTTCCCAGATGTTGCGTATCAGAAGAAATTGTAGTCAGTATACTGACTTCGGGGAATTTCACATTACCCAGTTTCATCCGGTTTCAAGCCGGTAATCATCCGTTTTGAAGTGAACCGGTACAGGGCTGCCATTTCACACATGGCTTGCCCCTACCGGAAATGAGCCGGATCAGAAGCGGTTTGGCATTTCAGACTTGCACCGTTTTGTTTTCCCGCCATTTTCTTCCCGCGCAGGTGATCGATTTTTTTAAAAGTTCGATTTATAGCGTTATAGCGATATAACGCTATACCGGAACTCCAAACAATTGCAATAGCGATACCATTGGAGTTTGAAGTTCCGGTATAGCGTTATAGCGATATAATGCTATAAATCGAACGTTCAAAAAACAAAAGCCTGCGTGGGCCAAAAACGGCGGGAAAAAAGCGTAACAGAACCGGGAGAGGGAACTGAAGACTACTCGGAAGCGGTTGACAGGTAAAACGCTTCAGTCTCGGTTCCTAAATGGGACAGAAGCTTTTGTGTATGAAATGGCAGTTACATTCCGGTAGGGAACCGATTCTCAAACGGGTTCTGTCTGAAATGACAGACCAGAACCCGTTTGAGAACCGGTTCCCTACCGGGAGATATCACCTATCTGAAATTCCTCTTTGTCAAGCAAGGCTGACTGCTTATGAATCAGTTTAGACATAGGGGATACTTCTCCAGAATTCTACAACAGGCTTTTCATAAAGCAAGTAATACTAACAGATCCTCCCTTCTGGTTCCCAAAAGCAGACATAGTCAAACCAATAGAATGATTACAGTGACGTATGATGGGAGATCTGCCCAAGTGAGGGATATTATTAGAAAACACTGCCCCTCTTATCTAACATCCCTAGATGCTGTCTCCCCCCCCCCCTTTTTTTTCTTACTGCAGATCAAAAAACCTGAAAGACATACTTGTCAGGACTCGGAGTAGTTTAAAATCTTCAGCTATACAGAGGGGATTGGATGGCAAGGGCAGACTGGTTGGAAATTATCCCTGTGGGGGGTGTTCTATGTGTGAGTTATTATTATGAACAGATTTCTGTTATGACTCCTCTGAACAAAAAAGGTACTCCATAAACAGTTTCTTCAATTGTAATACAAAGTCCGTAATTTATGCGGTAAAATGTGGCTGTGATTTAACCTACGTCGGGTGTACATCTAGACCTGTAAAGATAAGAATTGGAGAACACAGGAGTTGTATTCGTCTTTGCAGAAAGAACACTTCAATGATTGAACACTTTGTAAATCTTGGCCACAGTGAGAGAGACCTTCATTTCTTCATCTTGGAAAAAGTCCAGGCTAGCAATCTACAATTGGCACAGCGTCTGAAGGCCAGGGAAACCTTCTGGATTTATGCTTTGAATAGTTTAATACCACATGGATTAAATCAAGAAATTGATTAGCAATCTGTATAAATGGGTATTGCATTTGTTCTGTTATTACTTTGTCTAATTGCCTGTTTTTAAGGCATTATGAAATTTTTGTTCTGCTGTTTTGTTGTGCCTATGGGTACTATCTCTTTAAGTTCTTTTGTACTGTCATACTTTATATAATTTCCCCCCCTTTCTGTGACCTCTGACATTACAGCAACAATGCATGGGTGTTATCTCCTTAAGTCCTTTTGCATTGTCATTGTTATATTAGCATTGCACCATACGGGTACTATCTCTTTAAGGTTTTTTTGCAATGTCATCCCCCCCATTTTTTTCCTCTCTATGACCTCTGACACTACATCAGCATTGCATCATTCTCTATTACACTATTTAAGTTCCTGATATCTGTCTTCACTGTTACATTGATGTCACGCTGACCCTGATAAGGCAATTTTACTTGCACTCATAGGACATAAACTAGAAGGTACCGTATTTATTTAATTCCTCATATTTTTATTAAATACGTTTTACTATTTGTTACATTTTGGAATTTATCTCATCTTTATTTCCAGGTACATATTGGTACTGATATTATTTCGAGTATATGCAACTACTTCTGACACAAGGCCAAATATATTCGTGGCCCGAAATAGAAGTCTTTTGGTGTGTCATTCAATTCCATATTGGAAGTAAGTATATTATATTTGGGTATCGTAAAATATGTTTTTGTAATATTGGATGGAATTTTCAATTGAGTAAATATTAATCTAAAACATTTTTAATCTCTCCATACAGCATTCCATTTTTGGTCCTATATTATTAATTATTATTGTTACATGGACTTTGTTGCTTGGTGTATTTTGTACTTTGTACTATTTGACCTCTGAAGAAGGCTCCTGTGAGCTGAAATGCGTCAGGTCATACACTGTTCTTTTTTGTGCATTTGTCACTTTGAACATTTTATGAGGCTTTATTTGATACCCTACAAGGTTTTTATGTGTCTTTGAAATAAACACTCTTTTGTCTATACTTATGTTTTTAACTTCTGGCCCTCAATAAGTTTTCTAAACTTCCTTTGGAGGTTTTTGCTTGATTTGTTTAGATCTCCCCCCCCCCCTCTTTTTCTTGGGAATAGATAGCCATCATGATTAGTACTCACTGATAGCCACATCCTCCATGAATTTGTCCACTCCCATTTTAAAGCCTTCCAGGTTGACGGCCATGACCACACAGTGAGTTCCACAAATTAACTATACACTCAGTGAATAAATACTTCGTTTTGTCTGTCTTTAGTCTTCAACCCTTCAGCTTCAGTGGATGACCCTGGGTTCTAGTATTATGGGAAAGGGAGGAACTCCCTTGTCCACTCTCCCCACACCATACTTAATTCCATAAACTTCTATCATGTATCCGCCAAAACTTCCTACAAGGAATTTTGGGAATTGTAGGTGAGCCTGCTCTTCTGGAATACACTAGGAATGGCCAACTGCCTGAACTTGGAAAAGGGAACAGGGAAACCCTTCCTCAACCAAGCCAATCCCTGGGCATGTTCTCATTGCTAGCCTTTGCATACAATGAAGGATGATGCATGGGCAGACATACCTCCTTGTCTTTTTCTTCCATTCAGCTTCAGCAAGGGAAGAGGTATTACACAGTCCTACAGTTAGAAGGGGACATCTAGGCCAAACCTCCTATCCCATGCAGGAAATCTCAAGAGCGTCCTTTTTCATCGTTGTTCTCAATGTTCAGCTTTTATGCATGTCTGAAGTATAGAGCAAAGGTAGAACAAAAGGGAAGTTTTAGGGCATCTTTGCCTTCCTTGGAGGGTTTCGGGGGCCAGACAAAATCACAGGTTTATTCCTGTCCACAGTACCTCAGTTGGCCTTCTCTTATTTAAACCCAGCAGAGCGAGTCCCAAATATGGAGCTCACCTATCCATTTCCTGGTGCCCACCTAGTTCTTAAGTCAGGAAGATAAAATCCAAAGTATCTTGAGTGGAACAGGTTAAAAATAAAAGTCATTCCCTACAAGCTGACTACCAATCCCAGACTACACATCAGAACATGAGCCCTCACTGACCTTGCTAGGGTTGCTGACTTGCTCCAGTTTTTCTTTGTATATGTAAATCAGAGCCCAAAATGAATTTGGGAGTTTCTATCCTGGGAGAAATGATTGTGTGAAACCCAAGCTCTTATATAACTGTAGCCCCCTGACAGAACTACAGGACTCAGTTTTCGTTCGGTAAGGCTACAATACTGTCCATCGGGTTTTCTTGGCAAAAATAATGGAGTGGGTTGCCATTTCCTTCTCCAGGGGATCACGCTTGGTCTGAGTTCTCTGCTGTGGCCTGTCCATCTTGGGTGGCCCTCCACGGCATAGCCCACAGCCTCATCGAACCACGCAAGTTGAGCAAACTTCAGAGGACGGCGGAAGACCAGAAGGCCTGGCGTGATCTGGTCCATGGGATCGCGAAGAGTCGGACTCGACTGTGCGACTGAACAACAAAAAAAGGCTACAATATTTTTTAAGAACAATTCACATGAACCCTGTTAGACACAAACCCAAAATGTTTTATATATATTTCCCTCCCAGCTGAGAAACCACATATGACAAAATGTTAGGTTTCCACCAGTCTTCTGCAGGGTTAAAAAAAGGATTTTCATCAGACACACGTTGAAAGATTTGATTATTCCCTTTCTTTTCCTCCAAACTGCGAAATCCATTAGACCAGATCAGCATGGTCCAGGATGCCTGCCCTGGGCATAGGAGGGGAACTACCAGAGAGAAAGGAGGGAGCCCCCCCCCCCCCCCCGAAGGCCTCAAATTCACAAAGTCCTCCCAGATCATTTATCACCGGGATGCAACTTATCTCATTAGCATGTTTAAGGGAATTAGATCACAATAGAGAGAACAGGACAACAGAAACACAAGTATGCCATCAAAAAACCCGGCAGCATCATTTCCAATCCCTCCTTCCTTTCCCTCCAAGCTGATTTCCTGTCACTCAAACTTGGACTTGGCACTTCCCCCCCTTCCCCGGATGTTCAGGAGAAGCAGAAGACCCAGGCAAACAGTGGCGGGGGTGCACATGGCAATGGATTCTTTCAAAACCAAGAGGGTATAGATGGCACCTGCAGAGAGAAGGGGACAAGCAAAAATGTATTTACATCCAAAAGACCAGATCTGCTCCCCATTTATCTATCACCCCAGCAATCTCATCCACATTCTCCAAACCAACCCCAACACCCCTCCCCAGTACCACTTTATTTTCCCTGCGGTCAAATCTTCCGCCTCATTTAAATGTGATACTGGTGTGACCAAAGAACCAATCTGTTTTTTAATGCATGTGCCCATCCTCTTGCTTAAACTGGACAGTTACATACACCAACAGCAGTGTCTGCAACACTCACACACCAGCCGCCCAGGTCACGGATCTCTGGCACATTAGGTCGCAATGTCCCCTGCTGGAAATCACAATCTTGTTTCACGCCACCCCATTTCCTTAAGTAGTGGGAAGTTCCAGGGGCAACCTTTTACCCAGTCTGTTTCCCTCAGAGGAGAGCAGATAGTGCCTTTTGTAAGAACAAACTGCTTCGTAACAAGGGCACGGGCTGAGCAGATGGGAACCAAGCACACCCGCAGCCTCAGAGAGTTCCCAAGTAACATCGGCCCAGCTCCATGACCATTTAGAGAAGCTACTTCTAAGAGGCAGAAGAAAACCTCTTTGCTACTTTCTCCATCCAGTCCCAATGTTCCATAAGCCTCTTACAAAATTCAGGACTGGAAAAACTGTTCACAGCTATCCTGACACAACATGAATGCAGGAGAGTTGAGAAACAGTTCCCACTGTGCTTGTGTAGGATAAAGAAAGGTGCCTCTTAAGCCAGGCTTGTGTGTCAGGCCTGTGTCTTCATAAATTAACCGCCAGACAACCCTTACCTATCATGATGATAGTAAGGACGAAGTTGCTGATCTCTTGCAACAGCTGTGGCCCAAAGGCCAAGAGTAAACCAGCCACCACTTCTGTCCAGCCCACCACTTCGAGGTACCGGCCTGGCTCTGGCTTGTAGCCAAACTCCTTCAAGGGGAAAACATCAGCAAACTGCACAAACTGGGATTTCTGGAAAAGAAGGAGGCATTTGGGTTGGGGAGTCAAGAAGAATAAATCTGAAGAACAGCCTTTAATGCCAGCAGAAAATTCCAGGAGATTCATTAGCCACATTAAAGAGGTCCTTGGATTTCAAAAGATGTGTTTGATTTCAGCATATTCTGCCCATGCCACAAAATCCGGCATCCCACACATCTGCAGAAGCAGCAGGAGGAGGAGGAGGAAGGGAAGGGAAGGAGGAGTTCTAGCCCTTATGGAAGCTGGAAAATTCTAGAATTTCTAGGGGACTGGGTTTGATTGGCAGCATCTGGAAAGATCCAAGTTACTTCTGCCATTATGCAGCTACTGCATATAAATCATCCAGAACAACTTGGATTTTTTAAATCATCTGAACCTGGAAGGGAGGTTTAAATCAGTCCCCTATGAGCATAGACTCTGATCTTGCTCTTCAAAGGAAACTGATTCAATGGAACATATTTTCTTTAATTTCCCTAGGCACGGAGAAATCTGGTCGAAACTTATTGAGCCGCAGATCGGAAAGTTTCCTGGCAGATCACATAAAATTAAACTTGATTATCTTCTGTCTGATATGAACCATGAAACAACCCGAATAGTGGCTAAATTTTGCACACAGGTGTATAAAGATCGGGAAATGCATACGGTAGCTTGAGTGAATTTTTAATGCTGTGAAATTGATAGTTTGATTTTATGTAAACCTTTGTGTATGCTGGTCACTAGCTGTAAAATTAAAATTTGATTGATTAGGATTGATTGAACCATCTGCACCATCAGAGAAAACTAAACACTGTTATAATAGCCTTAGGTAAAGTCCCAAACCATGTAACTATTTTTAGGCTTAAAAAATGAGTAGAGAGAGAGGAGAGCGAGAGAGAGGAGAGATTGGATTTATACCCCGCCCTTCACTACCCGAAGGTGTCTCACAGCGGCTTACAAACTCCTTTCCCTTCCCCTCCCCACAACAGACACCCTGTGAGGTAGGTGGGGCTGAGAGAGCTCTGACAGAAACTGCTCTTTTTCAAGGACAGCTCTTATCAGAACTACGGCTTGCCCAAGGTCATCCAGCCAGGTGCAAGTAGAGGAGTGGGGAATCAAACCCAGTTCTCCCAGATTAGAGTCCGCGCACCTAACCACTACACCAAACTAACGAAACAAAGGAACATCAGAATCTTTACTGAGGCATACAAACTAGATCTCATCAACAAAACGAATTGCCAATTTAAATGAAACATGTTCACCAACAGTAGACCTCCACCGACTTGTGATATTATCCATTGGAGCTAACTAATGCTACACAGGCTATTTTGAAATCAACATTTTTAAAGGATTTGTGCTTGTCAATGCACCCTTCGATTTTATGAATTAAATAAGATTTTCACGCTACCTGTCCTGTGCTCAAGGCAGTGAATGGTAAATAAGCAATAAATGAATTATAATAACCTGCTTAAAGTCTGCTGTTTGTAAAATCCTCTGAAAAAAACTCTATTTAGAACAGAGATCACAGACACCGGTGTCAGTTTGTTTATTTGATTTGATTTCTAGTCCACCCTCCCCTGCAGAGCAGGGCTCAGGGTTGTTGTGTGGGGTTTTTTACTCAACTGCCAGTTTTTAAAAAACCTCTGCTTGTTTTTCTTTCTTTTTTCTTTAATTTTAAAGGATTTCAGGCTTTCATTGGTAGTTGATTAATCATGGGGGCCACTGTTAATTTGTAAGGGATAATTTTAAACAACTGGGTTAGAATTTAAGGAGATCCTTGAGTATTCTTTGAAGCTAGTTTTGTGTAAGACGATGTGTTATCAACATCATAAGAAATTAACAAGAAAAATATTTTCTTTTTTTTTAAGTACCCATACGGTACACTTTTATTGTTTTTCATATTATACACCAACAAGCAAACATACAACATAACAAACATCCACTTACACACATAAAACATACAAAGAGATCAGTATCTTTAAATATGGTAACAGAGTTATAAGAAGAAAAATATTTTCTAAGCACAAGTGGTAGCTTCTGTTTATTACATATGATGTTTCTTTCAATATTTTAATAATGCAATATTCAGATTTTGCTAGTATGAACCTGTATTTTTGATTTCACAGCCTCAATTAATCAGGTAGAGCGGCAAGAGATTACAAAGAAAATTTTAAAAAACCTGAATCAGTTGTTGGCTTACATTTTAAGAACAGCCTTTGGTTCAAGTAGTTTTTATTTTGCTCTCCCCAAACATTTCTAATGCAATCATAAGAAAGAAAAGGTTTCACAGGGAATTAAAGGTCACTGCTCTTCAGAACTGCCCATATTTACAGAGCTCCGCCATAATATTTATTTATTTATTTATTCAACTTGATATACCGCCCTAACCCCCATAGGGGTCTCTGGGCGGTTTACATGAAGGGTGCTAGTCACAATTTTAACCCTAACTAAGGCCACATTTTTTCCACGGGGAATGGGACAGCCTACCGGCACCCCAGGTGGAGGTAGATGTCTCTTTATTCCGGTCTGGCTGGCTTCCTTCCCAGCGGTATCGAGCTGTTGTTCTTCTGGCGCATTTTTGCGATCCGGTGCGCCGGCGGCGTCCTCCTCAGGTCCCGGCTATGTCCCTTTGGCTCCGCCGCGCCCTCGGGTGACGTCACCACGCGCCTCCAGCAGTACGACAGTCGGCTGTTGTTCTCGCTGCCAGCCACCAGGGATCTCTCCTTCCGGCCTGCTGCTCACCACTCGCTGCCGCCGCGTCGCCATGCTGCCTTGCTTCCACTGCCGGTACGCCGCCATCGCCGCCGTCTCCGTCGCTATTGCCGTCGCCTCCAAACGCCTCGCCAGAGGAGGGTGCCCCCCACCCTTCTAAGGGTGGGTACCCATTTATCTACTTGCATGGATGTTACGTCTGCTTTCGAACCGCTGGGTGGGCAAAGAAATTCCAGGACAACTCCCTGCTCTTCTCTAGGTGCAGGAGAGAAGCTTCACTACTTCAGAATGTTTTGGAGGTTCTGTACAGCTTCAAGAAGATCCAACTCAATTGAGAGCAGCACACAGTTTAGATAGTTATCAAAAGCACCCCCTGCTTTGTCCAATTGCAGAGAAACCTCCAAATTCTTTGCCCAGGGATCCTTTACATGGATGTCATGGCACTCTCTGATGTGTTTCCGTGTGCCCACATCCTTCTTATCCCAAACAAAAAGCCAACCCTGGCTTCTCTCCACCTCACTGGAGCAGGGATTGCTGCCTTTGTATCTATAGCCATTCAGCTGCCATTGTAGGAGCACTCTTGGCCTGGAAAAACAGGTTGCTTACCTGTAACTGATGATCTTCGAGTGGTCATCTGTGCATTCACACCTCTGGGATATAGTGCACCTGTGCCGACCCTGACCAATAGATATTGAAAGCAAAAAGGATTTTCGCACCCGCTCCCCCGTCACATGCAGGACTCCAGTGCGCATGACTAGGGGAGGGATACGACAATCCCGCCAGTTCCTTCTGACCGCTGCCATTAGTCACAAAAAACAACAATAAGACCAACAGCAGAGGGGAAGGAGGGCTCAAAGATCATCACTCAAAGATCATCAGTTACAGGTAACCAACCTGTTTATCTCCTTCGTGGTCTCTGTGCATCTGGGAGAGTAGCAAGCAGAAAGAGTACAACACATCTGCCTGGAGGAGGGAGCTGGAGGTCCTTAAAGGCACGCCGACTGCAACACAGATCGTCCCACCGCAGAACGCTGATGAAGACATACATCTAGGGCATAGTGTCTCACAAATGTGTGAGGGGTTGGCTCAAGTCGCCGCATTGCAGATGTCATGTAGTGACGTGCCCTTCAGGAAGGCCGTGGATGTGGCCACTGCTCGTGTGGAATGCGCTCGGAGCAGTCCCGGGAGTGGTTTCTTGGCCATCAAGTAACAGAGTTTGTCTCCACAATCCACCTGGAAAGTCATTGTGAGGACAACTTACCCCCGAGTGAGGAGGGAGCATAGGATACGAAGACGGAAGGAGACTTTCAAAAACCCTTCATCTTATCTAGGTAAAAGAGTAGGGGCCACTTGACATCAAGTGTGTGGAGGCGACGCTCCGCATCGTCCTTCAGGGCAGGAAAAAATACAGGAAGAACGATGTCAGCTTCCATATGGGATTCCGATACAATCTTGGGAAGAATGGAGACGTCTGGGGCCAGGGTGACCCCTTCATGATGAAAAACCAGGTAAGGTGAATCACAACGAAGGGCTGAGAGTTTGCTCACCCTCCGTGCCAACGTGATAGCCACGAGGAAGGCCGTCTTCCATGAAAGAAGCGGCAAACTGCACGGGGCCATAGGCTCAAAAGGCTTCCCAGAAAGCCTGGCTAACACTAAAGGTAAGCCCCAAGCTGGCGTGAGGAAACGCAACAGTGGAAAAAGATGAACCAGGCCCTTAAGGAAACGCTTGGTAAGCGGGTGTGTAAAAACTGAGTAGCCCTCGGCTGGAGTGTGATGAGCAGAAATTGCTGCCAGGTATACCCGCACCGAGGAATAGCTGAGACCTTGGTCCAAATGGGACAACAGAAAACAAAAAACAACAATGAGGTCTGAAGGCGGAGGGGGCAGACCAACCTCCTGAAGGTAAGACAAAAACTTTCTCCACTTCCGGCTTCCGGTCTGGCTCCCGCGAAAGGCAGACGCATCCTCGGGTCGCTCCCGAGGGCGCCTTGCCCGCCCGCGGTGGAGGAGGGAATCCGCGCAAGCGGAGACCCGAACGAGCCCCTCAGATGAGAGGAGCTCGGATCCGGGGCGCTTTAGGGCGTTCCAGGGGGGAGTCTCTCTTTCGGTAGTTTTACGGGGTTTAGCGGAACCACCGGGCGTCACCGAGTGATGAAGCGGGAAAAAAAATGGAAAAGAAAAGACTGGCGTAACTGTGAGTTGTCAAAATACAGAGAAAATGAACTAAGAACGTTTCCCCCCCCCTTCAGCGGAAAATGAGGGGGTTAATCCTCTATAAGCGAGAAAGAAAAAAAAGAAAAGAGG